ATTGTGAATTGAAGACTTGGCCACTGCAGTGGTAAACAAAAAATTGGAAATTTCCGTTAAAGGGAGATAACCGAGACATCCGGAAGACGCATGGCACATGGAACTAGAATAATCTACGCCGGTGTACGAAATAAAGAGTTCAGTTCGAAATTCCAGTCACCTGAAGAAAGCCGGATAACAACGGCCAAAACGTCGTGAATATGATAATAAAGATGAGGACAACAGTCTGAACAATGTAAATAATGTAAATAATTACATCTCAGAAATATAGGCAGATACTGAAGGATCGGTAAGGACCCGATATACCGAAAATATGGAGACAATTAGAAAAGGCAGTAAAGATGAGGGCAACAGTCCGAACAACGGAAATAGTGTAAATAATTACAATACCTTATCTCAGAAATATAGACAGATATTGAAAGATCGGTACAGACCCTATATACCGAAAATATGGAGACAATTAGAAAAGGCAATAAAGATGAGGACAACAGTCCAAACAATGTAAATAGTGTAAATAATTACAATACCTCATCTCAGAAATATAGACAGATATTGAAGGATCGGTACAGACCCGATATACAGAAAATATGGAGACAATTAGAAAAGGCAATAAAGATGCGGACAACAGTCCAAACAATGTAAATAGTGTAAATAATAAATACCTCATCTCAGAAATATAGACAGATATTGAAGGATCGGTACAGACCCGATATACCGAAAATAGAAACAATTAGAAAAGGCAATAAAGATGATGATAACAGTCTGAACAATGTAAACAGGCCCAATATCATCTCAGAAATATAGACAGATATTGAAGATCGGTACAGGCCCGATATACCGAAAATATGGAGACAATTAGAAAAGGCAATAAAGATGAAGACAACAGTCCGAACAATGTAAATAGTGTAAATAATTACAATACCCTATCAAGTCTCTTCATCATCGTCCAGCATTCACTCCAAATTGGCGGATTGATAGTGCGTAACATTTTAGTTCTCTTTTCTTTGTTTCTAGCGAAATCTTTCTTAATTCTTTGCTTAGCTTTTAGAAGACAACTTTCGCTATCCCAGTTTTCCTTCAAATTTCAGTGTCGAACTTTCCGCCGTCTGATAAAAACTCTTCCAAGATATTTAAATTGTTTACTTATTTGATTTTGGTATTTCCAATTTGTAATTTGCATGTTGAACTCTTTCTTTTTGCTAATAACCATGCATTCTGTCTACTTGGAATTGATGTTTAGTCCTTTCTTCTCGACTTCTGTAGAATATAGTTTCTTTTATGTTTCTGCTATCAAGACAGTGTCATCTGCATATCTTATGTTGGTAAGATTGTGGCTGCCAATAATGAATCTGATAACACTTTTCAATCTCTCAGAATGACTTCGCTGTATAGGTTGAATAAGTTCGGATTAGTATTTTATTGAATCGCCATTCTGAGAAGACACGTGAAAATGGAAAGTATGGATAAGGGAAGGTAAAGAAAATATTTGAAAATTATCTTTCTCTAAGAGAGTCAGAGAAGCGAATTTGGATTCGTTCATGTGGATGAATGGCCCAGTTTCTATGCCTTGGACCCATCAGAATCGTCACGTCTAGCAGTAATCAGATTTGGCGAAATCTACCGGACAAGGTGGCCAGGATTAGCGATGAAGAAACGACGTGTTGCTTATTGCTTAACAAAATCGAGAAATATGTTTAATTAAATCTAGCCAGGCCAGACTCTCCGCATCACCGACATGTAACCACTTTCTTTTCACGAGCGCTCAAAACGAAACGTTTCTTTTATTGCGGGTCGATTCTGATTCGTTCATGCAACGATGGGCAGAGCTTCAGGCCGAAGCCATGTCTTCATAAACGCCCACAGGTCACAGACGCAAAAGGAAGAAAGAGGTTCTCGTCGCAAAATCTGTACGACTGGTCTTTCAAAATTCGATTTACAATGAAACAAATTTAGAGATGGGGGTGGGTTAAATAGAATAAGTTTGTTGATTGTAATTCATCGCATTTGTCCCCAGGGATTGGGTTTAAGTGGACCGGCGGAGAGAGAGCAACACATCGCAGCAATCAACGAGACGCAAAAGAATGAATACCAATTTGCAATTTAGAACGACAACAGCGGGTAACTTTCTCATTATTTCGCAATGTAGACATTTTATTGAGACGAAGACGATCGAGTGAAAAATGAAACGTTTTCTCCATCAATTTTTCTCTCGGTGTCTCTCTCACACCCACTTCCTTCCTCTCTCTCTCTCTCTCTCTCTCTCTCTCTCTATATATATATATATATATATATATATATATATATATATATATATATATATAGTTAAACCTAGAGAGCCAGACAAACATACCAAGATTTCAACTAAGCGGATCGTCAGGGAAGGCTGGCTGGTTTGAGCAATTTATTTACTTATTTTGCTTACTCGTATCGGGGTTTTTCTCTGGACTTTGGGCTTTAGACTTGCATGCTAGACGATTATTTTCGGCTAACGTACATGTTCTTGGTTCTTTCATTTTTCCCCTTTGGTATTGGTTTGATTATTCGCAAATCAAGACACTGAATTTTTCCGGATGAGTATAATTTCTTATACTTATAAGATAATTACTACTAATATATATATATATATATATATATATATATATATATATATATATATATATATATATATATAAAGTCAAGTTATATGCAATCGACAGTCTTCGGCATGACGATTGCATATAGCATGAAACGTTTGGCCTGACACCTCTAAGTGTTGACTTCTATGTTCACTTTTATATATTTACACGCTCTATCTCTGATATTGAGCACTTTATTCCATAAATATAGCATACCTTAAGACTATATATATATATATATATATATATATATATATATACAGGTGAAGATCCATGGGAAAGTAATCCAAGTGAATCCTAATATTATGAAATATTAAAGCTGATCCACAAAAGAGATCTCAATACATTTACTATAGAGCATAGAAATAAATTAAATAAAAATTACACTCAATTGTTCCCCATTTATATGGCCATTTCGCTCCTCGGGATAAATTTTGAACTTGTCAATACTAAAACGTTTAATAAAATAAATATTTTTTATCAAACGTTTTCGTATTGACAATGTCCAGGAATTTATCCTGAGGAGCCAAATGGCCATGTAAATGGGGAACAATTGAGTTTCACTTTTGGGGATCATATATATATATATATATATATATATATATATATATATATATATTAATATATAAAATTAAAAATATAAAATCGTAATATACTTGATGTGACAATAATTCTACAAACTGTAAAACTACATTTAAATTGTTCTTGAAAGAATTATAGTATAATAAAATTAAAAGTAAAAATATTTCAAATCGTAGTTAAATAAAAAGTATTCTTACCTAAATAACCCCCAAAAGAAATCTTTAAATATACGCAGAAAAAAATGCCGTGAGAATTTTAGCCGTTAACAATATAAATTTAAAAGAAAAAAAAAATCCAGACGACACGTTTTTAACGGAAGATGTATTGAAAAATACATCCCTACCCACTACCAAAAGTAGCAATAACTGATACATTAAAATATAGACATATTGAACACCTAGACACCCCTGTCTAGAAAAATAGATTTATCTGTAACCTTGTAAACATGAATTTTGTTTTAGCTGTGTATTTAAAACCCAGTAATTTTAAAAGTTACTCCAAAATTCGCTTGAGGATGAAATGGAACTAATGTCTTTAATTTAATTACAAAATTAAATTCGGGGCTTTTAGCTTCCATTTTTGAAACATGTTTAGAACTGTGTAGCGGAAAAACATATTTTAAATCAATTAATTTATAATATTAATGCTCTGTAAATTTACATCGTGCACTATTTTGTAAAAATAAAAATACTTATAAGAACACCGGATTATATATCTTACTGTTCTTTATATATATATATATATATATATATATATATATATATATATATATATATATATGGTGGGCGAGTAAATATTTACAAAACCCCTTAACATCTATATATAAAAACATACTCGCAATAATCATAAAGCGGAAGACATGGAAAGAACAAAACAAGTATTATTTATTATCTGGTCGGTCGTTATGTGGTGTTTGAGAAACGAGCGAGAGAAATAGTGCGTAAAATTGTAAGTTTGGGGTCAAATGTTGATCCCATATGGACCGGAATCCGACAAAAGGATAAGATAAAGGATAAGCAAAATGTATACAGTCATTCACGTATTTTTTTTTTTTATAGATGTGTGTGATGAGTTTCCAGAGTTGGAAAAACACAAGAAGTGTCTAGGGTTTTCATACCTCGATTTCTTTGCTGAGTGCTAAGAGATAAATGTTACTATTATGGCCTGAAATTGAAAAGGAGACAAAGTTTTCGTTGACGTACGTACTAACGACCTGCCCGTGTGAACTGCTTGTTCAATATTGAGAATATCACGTATTTGTGAGTGTAGAGGAGATTAGTTTAGAATGAGTGTATTAATGATAATTATAACTGTTATAATTATTTTACTATAATTATATTAACAATAATTATATATATATATATATATACACACATATATATATATATATATATATATATATATATCTTTTATATATTAATATATATGTGTGTGTGGGTCTTTGTGTGTGTGTGTGTTTGTCCTTATGCATAAAAGAATATCAATTTGAGCGTGGATATATCCATATATACTTGCTTTTTTTTATTGACAAATTCTTTTTACGGCTTGCTAATCCTTTGCATTTTATTTAAAGCCAGAGAATATTTTTTTAAATTGTAAGAATTTTAGGGGTTGTGGGGAGATAATAATGATTGATACACGTCTTACTAATTAACCCACAGCTGGAAGAAGAAAAGGTGGATTCATACCATTCCCGGGGGGGGGGCGGTTACGCGTGAGTGAATATAACGAACCCAACTGGAATTGGAACTCGTCTCCCTGATTATCAATTCCGAACCACTGTACAACACCCGCCCATCCGAGCTTACAGCACCTGGAATTCCCACGCGGTCACCCAATCTAGGTACGGACCAGGCTCGACTCTTGCTTAACTTCGGGGATTGTACGGAAACCGGCGTTTTAACGTGATATGGTCGTAAGCCGATTAAAATCTTAAGTACCCCCGCAAAAAAAAAACAAAAAACAACCCCCCAAAAAAAAAAAAAAAAACAGATGATTTTTGGCGGTTTGGTGGGTCAAGCCGTTTATTTATCACTACCACCTACCTATGTATTGTTAATTATTAAAGAAAAAAAAATCTATCTACCTTCATAATGTAAGCAATTATGGCGCTCCACAGATTCCTTTTTCTGTATTATTTGTAAATTGCTGTCATTTCTGTGAAAAAAGATAGTGTAGTGGCTTTCTGTTGCTAGATCCACGGTATGGAATACAGAGAACTTCTTTTGTTAGAATGGTTGGGTAAATTTTCATTTTAACAACCGAGCGCTAATATCCCTTCAAATTTTTGCCAAACAGTCTTATTTCCGTGCAAATGTATATGCTGAGCTCAAATCAACAATTAGATATTGAAGAAACCTACCATTTTGGATGTTAACGACCCGAAAAAAAATCAGGCTTTTTCCTGGTCTTTCGTCAGCCATTACCGGTTTATTGATAAGTAATTCAGTGCTGAATTTTGTTGGTGGACGTATACTATTTGGGCCTATTTACTTCCTTCACAGTAATTCCTTAAAGCGTTTTTTTTTTTGTACTTAATTTAAGAAGAAAGTTAATTTTCAAATATATGTAAACATCGACAAATAAAAGAATAACAAAGTAATTTTTTTTTTAAGAAGAAAGTTAACTTTCAAATTAGGGTTAGGTGTTTTTTTTTTGTTTTTTTTTTTTGTTATTCTTTTATTTGTCTGTGGCCGAATCGGTTAAAGCACGTCAGGCTAGATGACGGTTCCGTATAGGATACAGGTTCGATTCCTGTCGGAGGACGAATATTTTCTATGAAAATTTCTCGGATATTCAGACCGTTAAATGTTGTTAATACTGTTTATTATAAACAGAGCATTTACTTAAATATTCGTATCTATAAAAAGAACGTATAAACACAAAAAATGTCTTAAAAACACACACATATATATATATATATATATATATATATATATATATATATATATATATATATATATATATATATTTCTTAATGTTAATTAAAGACAGAGCATTTACTTAAATAAACTGTATCTATGAAAAAGTATAAACAAAATATATATATATATATATACATATATATATATATATATATATATATATATATATGTGTGTGTGTGTGTGTGTGTGTGTATAAACAAAAAATATATAAATATGTGATAAAATATAGTTATATAGTATGCTATATTTATGTCTGTGTCTGTGTGTGTGTGTGTGTGTGTATTTCTAAGGAATTAATGGTTTTCATTTTTAATACAATATTATTTCTTACTACTGTAAATGTTATTGTAGTGGATACCCATATTTGAGCAGACGCCCTGTTTTTGGTGTGAATTACGTGTAGACTTAATAATGAGAACCCTGTCGGAGAACAGATTTTCTTCATTACGTCTCTTGAATGGTAGGCCAGTTGACGCAATTCATTGGTTAAAAAACAGGGCGTCTGCTCATATATGGATGTCCATTAGAATAGCATTTGCAGTATTATACAGTGTGCGATAAGTAAATTTTATATTTTAAATTTATCGCATGTGCGTTGTTTGTTTTTTGTTTTTATTTTACTAGGGTCAGTTGCTCACCGTCTGTGAGAAAAAGAGAACATTGACACTATTCACTCCGCCAGAAATTTAGAAACGGTCTACTGTACTGCTTGGCATTCGCACCGGAAGCACCAGTACGAACATTTCAATGTGTTTGAGTGTCAATCTGAGGACAGTGCAGAGGATTAGGAAAGAGTTGGATGATATTTCCGTTCAACATCATGGTGTTTGGAGTGATCACTAGTGATGGCGACATTATACCTCCATTCATCTTCCCACTCAACATGGAGGCCTTCATAAAATGCCTTGAAGAAGTAGTGCTGCCCTGGATCAAGAGGGTGGCTGCTGGAAGGACCTATGTCTGGCAACAGGACGCTGAACCACGCCAAACAAGCAGGAGAACCCAGTCATCGCTGTCAGGCAATTTCCGCAACCACATCTCCCCTCACATCTGGTCACCTAACTCCCCAATCTGCAATCCCCTCTTGATTATTATTATGTATGGGGTGCAGTTAAGAGAAAGACCAGCAAAACTCTTTGTAACACCAAAGATGAACTAAAGGCAAGGATTATGGCAGCATTTACCAACTTAAACAAGAAGACCGTCCAAAAGAGTTGCAGGAGATTCTGAAGTCGTCTGGAGGCCGTGGTTGAAGCCAGTGGCGATTTTACTAAATCAATTTACTCTTAAGTATTTCAAGATATTTTTGTGTAATTTTGGTAAATATATCTGTTAAAATGAGATGTCAGTGTTATTTTCATTATTGTGTAATTAGGATGATATAATTTATCCATATATATATATATATATATATATATATATATATATATATTGAACCTATATATATATATATATATATATATATATATGCGATTTTTTCGACAGATTTTTTCATGATTTTTCGAGCTCTTTCTTTTTTAAAACCTTTTTTTCCCTCGGGATTGATTTGATTATTGGCAAATCAAAAATTCGAGGGTTTTTCGAAAATATATATATATATATATATATATATATATATATATATATATATATATATATAATCTCCGTTACTACTGCTGAGACGCATTATCCGACACCCAATTTTTCTCACATTTAGGGATTAGTCTCCATCAAGCCTGAAAACTATACTGTCACGCGTATCATTCGAAAATAAAGTTTTCTGTCTAGTAACGTTTTCGTTCATGCAGTCAGTAAACTATATTAAAAAAAAAGACATACAATAAACGTGGACAACAGTTTTCGTTTAAATGTTAAAGATACAGAGAAGGTCAACATTTGAAAATGTCTAAATATCTTTTAATTTGACGTTTCATTTAGCGCTTAACAGATTTATTTTTATCGTTTCTAATGATATCACATTCTATTAAATGTACTTTTGTGGTTGAAACAAGACAATTTGTGTGATCTTCTTCGGTAAATTTACCGTAGGGGATTCTGAAATTATTTAAACTCCTCGACGTGCCAAATCAGGAAAATACAGAATATATTGCAAAAAAAAAAAAAAAAAGCAATGACTCATCAAAAACATTGGCGTGTCGTCGAGAAAATTAAATAAAAGATTATATGAACATAAAACGAATCTTTTACAAAAAATATACTCAAAGTATTGAGTTGTTCACAGTAATACGCTGGACCATAATGTCAAATTAAAAAATGCGAGTTTGATTAAAAGAGAAATAAATTTAGTAATTTAATATGTATTGAAAAGGTACTAATTTTCAAATTCTCTACGGTAAATATACTGAGGCAATTTAAATTTTGCTTCCTGTCTCCGTGTTTCTTTTTTGTTTTCTTCGTATTTTTTTCTTTTCCAAGAAAGAATTCAATTACTTTTTATGTTTTCCTGCTACTTATATCTGTAAAACACAAGTTCTATCTATCTATCTATCTATCTATCTATCTATCTATCTATCTATCTAATTCTGTTCATTATCTATCTATCTATCTATCTATCTATATATATATATATATATATATATATATATATCTTTTTATACGAATGTTCATCCAGTACAAGGCGCAAGAGTCACTCAAGGTACAGGGTTACTGTGTGGTGTTGTATGAGCATAAGGAGAGAAAAGAAGTGAAGTTTATGGGGCTATACTGGAAAGATGATGGTTAAGAGTTCAAGATTGTAGACATTGGGGAAAACGTCCTGTCGGGAGTCTGTTCCACAAAGCAACAGATTTTGGAAAAGAACTGGAACATATGGAACATATTTTGTGGCATGGCGAGTCCAGTATATATATATATATATATATATATATATATATATATATATATATATATATACCACATTTGATATTTATATATATATATATTGTTGAAACTTGACTAATGCATGGAATAATAATGCAACACAAAATGTACTTAGAACAAAGTTTATTGAAACAAGAAAGTGTACACAATATTTACATATAGTCTTTTGTATATTCCTGGTAAGACCGTTCCTGGAGAATGTGTTGACTGAGTCGCAGTCGGGCAGAGTCTCTGGTTCCTCCCTCTCTTCCCGGTACCAACCATATTTATATGGTCGGTACTCCACTATGCAAATTAGGTGGATCCTACCACAACATATATATATATATATATATATATATATATATATATATATATATATATATGTATATATTATATATATATATGTCTATCTATCTTATATATATGTATATATATATACATATATAATTATACCACATTTGATATATAAATATATATATATATATATATATATATATATATATATATATATATATGTCCAGTGTGGTAGAATATATATATATATATCTATCTATCTATCTATATATATATATATATATATATATATATATATATATAGATAGATAGATAGATAGATAGATATATATATATATATATATATATATATATATATATATATATATATATATATTATAAAAGGCACAGATACTAAAATTTCGTGAGGTTATATTTATTTCATTAGAGTCTTAAAAACAGCCCAATTCATCAGACCTTCAAATCCTTAAAAAATAAATAAATGCTTTTTGGATTTGAAGTTCTGATGAATTGGGCCTGTTTTTACGACCTAACGAAAAAATTATTGCCTTATGAAGTTTTAGTGTTTGTGCCTTTTATAATAATAATTATTGCTCTGTTTTGACATAGAACTCTCCCTGAATTTATATCTTTTGGTAATATCCATACTGATCACTAATATTATCATTATATATATATATATATATATATATATATATATATATATATATATATATATATATATATTGAACAATAAAAAATATTAAAAATTAAAATCTTCAGACACACTGGGTTGTAGATTAATATTCTTTCATTTTTATTATTTCATTTAGATTCCTCGACTACTTTCGGCCAACATGGCCATCATCAGAAGAAAAAA